CGAACGATCAGAAACCACGCTGATAAAGATGATGATACGAGCGTCGTACTGTGTAGGAATTAAATATCTAAAGAAACTACTAGAAATCACGCTTTATGCTTCTACTCATCGCGCACTCTCTGTCACTTTGTGTTGTACGCTTCGTATCTCCTTTTTTGCTCGCCTCTCCTTGCTAGGGTTTTTAATTTTAAAAGTAAAAGAAATTTAATGTTAGACATGGGAGAATACATTTCCATTTTCATTAATATAAAATGTAGAGAATATAATTTTGTATCTCTATCGAACTATATTTGGGTCACAATTATTATAATTGAATTGGGCCTTTTCCAAAATGGGTCATAATGGAACCCTATTATTTTCTAACCCATTGCTAAAAGCTATATATTTTTTTTTTGAAAAAAAAAATTCAAATTTATTTTTATTAAATGGTTTAATAAATTTTATCTAAGAAATTAAAAATAATTTAAATTAAATTGATATTAAATAAATAAAATAACATTTTAAAATTCAAATTATTTTATAATTGTTAATAAATTAATCAAATAATTTTATTATGGATGAAAATTTAATGAACTTCAAAAAATAACATAACCAATGTTAATCCGCCCTGTAAGTCCGAATCGTCCGCACCTTAACAGTTTCTTTTTTTTTTTTGCCGTACGATCTGCATTATTTCTAGGTCACCGTTATCGGACGGGGTGCTGAGATGATTTATAATTATGACACCTATTACCGGATAGAGTATAAAGACGACCAGTAAATTATAAAAAAAAATATTTCGTACATCTGCGTATAGTAAGGATCCCTATGGGCCCCCCTAGTGATACCAATGATGAAAATGACAATATGTGATCAAAATAAAAATAATAAGTAATCATTATTTTGATTATATCTTATTCGTACATCTGCATGTAGCAAAGATTCCTATGGGCTCCCTTAGTGATACCGATTATGAAAATTACAATATGTGATAGAAATAAAAATAATAAGTAATCTTTATTCTGATTATATCTTAGTGTATTCTGCTGGAAAGATTGTTAGTAAGATAAATAAATAATTATATTTACAGTAAAAAGAAAAATGATGATGGTTATGATTGTTGTTCAGTTTTGAATTTTATTCGATAAATTTTGTATTCGTTTTATTAAACATGTATGAATGTGCATTTGCATATCTCTATTTTGAACACTATTTTATTCTTATTGAGTTTGTGAAGTTTACCCTAATTCACCCCATTCAGTGCAGATTAGTTTAGGTCAAGAGTGAGTTCAATATCAAAAGAAGACTCTGAAATTTTTTTTAACTATTCTGAATTTTTGTTGTAAAATAAATCTATACATATTATTGTGATGTAATTTTGAAAGATTTTGTGAGCTTCATGAGTTGTGACTCCAGATAAGGGATGTATCGTTGATTTATAAATTTTAGCATAATGCTGCATAATATTTATCATATTTATATGTATGACAATACTCATCTCTCAATAAGAGAATGCGGGTCGTTATACTAAATCATACACAATACAATCTAATTAACCAATTGTGTATATATATATATATATTTATTAATATTATGTAAAACAAAGGTTAGACAAAAGACTAATTTTTTTATTTAATAATATAAGATATAAAATTTAAGAGCTAGTCATAAATGAATTAGTTACATATGAAATAAAATAAAAAATATTTTAAAATTTATTTTATTTTAATATTATAATAAAAAGAAAATTTTATATCGACAATACGATAGTTTAATAGTTAAAATTATTATATTTGATTAGAATTTTATTGAGTACGTATAACTCGTCACTTATCGATTAATAATAACTATATATAATACTTGATTGGATCAAATAAATGACTTCATTGACTACCGTATCAGTGATATTATAATAACTTAGTTAAAATAAACATTTTATAACGATTAGATTGACTTAATTAAAATAGTTACAATAAAATTAAAAACCCAAAAAAACCCTTTTTTTAATTTAAAAAGTAAAAGAAATTTAATGTTGACATGCGAGAATACATTTCTATTTTCATTAATATCAAATGTAGAGAATATAATTTTGTATCTCTATTGAACTATGTTTGGGTCACAATTATTACAATTGAATTGGGCCTTTTTCAAAATGGGTCATAGAACCCTATTATTTTCTAACCCATTGTTAAAAGCTATATATATTTTTTTTGAAAAAAAAAAAAATCAAATTTATTTTTATTCAGCGGTTTAATAAATTTTATCTAAATAATTAAAAATTATTTAAATTAAATTGATATTAAATAAATAAAATAATATTTTAAAATTTAAATTATTTTATAATTGTTAATAAATTAATTAAATAATTTTATTATGGATGAAAATTTAATTAACTTCAAAAAATAACATAACCAATGTTAATGGGCCCTGTAAGTCCGAATCGTCCGCACCTTAACATTTTATTTTTTTTTGGCCGTACGATCTGCATTTTTTCTAAGTCACCGTGCATGGGTTTTTTGATCGAACGATCAGAAGCCACGCTGATAAAGATAATGATACAAGCATCGTACAGTGTAGGAATTAAATATCTACAGAAACTACTAGAAATCACGCTTTATGCTTCTACTTAAAGCGCACTCTCTGTCGCTTCGTGTTTGTACGCTTCGTATCTCCTCCTTTTTTTTCTCGCCTCTCCTTGCTAGGGTTTTTCTGGTTCTTCCCCCCTTCGAGTCAAACATGAGGTAATCCTTCTTCTCCCACCTTCGATTCTCTATGGGTTGAGTATCTGACTCGGATTTTATTCGATTAAAGTTGTTGATCTTCTTTGTGCGGACTGGTTTTGATCCGTACTTCAGGTGTTTGTTCGGTTGTCAGTGTTGGCTGTTCTTATCGTTTTTATTATTATTTGGTTTAACCCGTGTTTGGCTGTCGAGGAAACGAAGGAAAGGGGAGGTATTAGGAAGTTTTCTTAAGGTATTTGTTTAGGGCGTAAATAACTTGGTTTAGGCTGTTTGAAGCACAGAGTTTTGTTTTATCTAACCAAAATGTTGTGATTGAACCAGGAGCTGAAACTATTGGTATGATAGGGAAATGTTGTTCCTTAACTATTGGGGGAAATTATCAAATGCCGCTGAATTAGGTTATGTTAGTCTTCACAGTGACGGAGGTTGAGATTCTGTAGGCCAGTGAAATACCTAGTGGGATGTGTATAGTTTGTTGTTTTTTTTCCTCCCTTCTTTAGTATTCTGATTTGATTAACATTTCAAAATAGCCAATTGGATTTGTTGGGTGTAAGGTTTTAGATGTGTATTGCTGGAAACTTCAATTAGTTTTCATTCTCTTCTGTGCTAATTCAGATTTTAATAGGTGGCTGCATAAGTAATTGTTTTCAATAATCCTTCTCGTCTTCGGACTGATAAGAATTCCATAATCTTGGTAACATAGGGTTTTTTAATGTTATTTTGTTAAGGGCTTATTGTTGTTGCATTTTGCTGTAAGGCATTTGTTTCTTTGTAAACATGGAGCTGTGCGGTGAGGACAGAACGAAATGTTCTTTCCTTTTTACTGAAGAATACCGCGCTTTTGTTGCTTTAAAGCAGCATACGCTAATTTTTGGAGGGGCTCACTCTTGAGTGTTGCCTCTTATTAAAAAATTATTTTAAAAAAAACATGAACAAACAATAAAATAAAGCATCTTGTTGTATAGGAGTGCATATTTGAGATTGCTAGACATGCTTATGCCTTCTATTTTGCTACTTCATTATTATCGTATTCGTGCTGGGCTAATACGGGTTAAAATTTTGCAGTCGTCACCCTGAGATTAAGTGGGCTCAGAGAGTGGACAAGGTTTATCTTACTGTTCTGTTGCCTGATTCAAAAAATGCCAAGGTCAATCTTGAGCCGGAGGGAGTTTTTACATTCTCAGCCAGTGCTGGAGCAGAAAATCATGTCTATGAACTAAAATTGGAACTTCATGATAAGGTCAATGTGGAGGTGAGATTTTTGAGACCATTTGGTCCTTTCATTATTTTTATACTCTTACTGGTTCTAATTAGCTAGCTGAGTATGAAACTAAAAACTGCTCAATCAGCTAAATATTTTGGATTTTTGGAGCTTATGATCATTCAAAATGGCTTTATTTACTCTTATAGCGATAATACTTATGGTTTTTTTGTCTTATCTGTATCTCACATTGAGTAGGAAAGCAAAATTAATTTAGGAGTAAGGACCATATTCTGCATCCTGGAGAAGGCAGAAAAGGGATGGTGGAAGAAATTGTTGCGTGGAGATGGGAAGGCACCACATTATGTTAAAATAGATTGGGACAGATGGGTGGATGAGGATGATGATGTCCCTGGTATGTGTGCCTTTTTAAACATAAGTTACTTTGTTTTTTCAGGTTAATAAATGTTGCTATACTTTTGATTGATTATTTTGGTTCTTGTTTTGGCAGGCAATGCTGATGACTTGGGTGGAATGGATTTCTCTGTATGGACATTTTAATTTATGGTTATTCTTTTTTTCTTAACAATGTTTCCTGGAGGAGTTTGTTCATAATTCCTTTTGTCTGCAGAATTTCAGTAACATGATGGGAGGCATGGGAGGCATGGGGGGCATGGCAGGCATGGGAGGCCTGGGAGGCATGGGAGGCATGGGAGGCATGGGAGGCATGGGTGACTTCAATGGTGCAATGGATGACATGGGAGACAGTGATGGAGATGATGAAGGTAATATGTTGCTGTAGGTTTTTGATGTTAACATGTGACTTGCAACAGATTTCAAATTTTAGTATAATTGCCCCCCCCCTCCCCCCCGCATTAAAGACATCGTAGGTTATATTGTTATCCACCTGGTGTTCATATGGCAAATGGACTACCTGTGAACATTCCACATCTAAGGATGGAATTTTTGATGAATGAATTCTCAATGTCCTTGTCTTTCTCTTTAGCCATTACTTATCATCATTCGGCACGTGAGATCATTGGGGGTTTATTTGTTTGTGTTCCTTATTCTACGGCTATTGCATTTTTACTTGTAAAGGTTATTATAACAAATGATTTCTCTTTCTGCAGAACTAGATTCTGCAAACCCAGAAGAACATGGTGCAGACAAGGCAAAAGGAGAAGCTGGTGAGAGCGAGAGAGGAACCACAGAAGAGAAAAAGCAAGCTGCATGAAGCGCGTGACATTCCAAGTGCCAAAATTTCAGTAGACCCTACAGTCACATGGTAATTATTTTTGGTTTCTATTAACGGGACCAATTTAATGTTATTGGTGTAACTGAATAGGATTGGATTAAGATTTTTGCCTTGGTGTCAAAATTGGCAAAAAACTTTTCTTTGACTTGAGCTAGATGCTTGTATCTTTACTTGCTTTTAATTTTTCAAAAAATGAGCAATTTGGACCTTTTATTATTTTCTTCATTGGATCACTGTACTACATTCCATAGTTTATCCGTGTTTATGATTTTTCGAAGACAGATTATTGGTATGAGTACTACATTCCATAGTTTATCCATGTTTATGATTTTTTCGAAGACAGATTCTTGGTATGACTACTACATTCCGCAGTTTATCCATGTTTATGATTTTCGGGTTTTATCTTTACTTCAGATATAGATTCTTGGTACGAATACTACATTCCGTAGTTTATCCTTGTTTATGATTTTTTCGAAGACAGATTCTTGGTACTGACTACTGCATTCCATAGTTTATCCATGTTTATGATTTTCGGGTTTTATCTTTTACTTCGAAGATAGGTTCTTGGTACGAGTAAACATAACTGGAAATAGTCTGGTAGAGTTAACACCACATCGATATGAATTTGATGATGGTGAGAATTCAAATTCAATTCTTAATTCTCAAAAAGAGAGTTGAATCCTTACCATCAAAGAATTCGATGTGGAAATTAGTGCTTGTGCTAAGAATTCAGCGAAGAGCACACCTGCATTTAGCCCGGAGAAAGCTTTGTGTAGAATTAAATGGGGAAGTGGGATTTTTGGAAAAATTAACTGAGAGATCTAAAAGACTTTTCACAGAATTTCTATGAAATTTATTTTATAAATTTATATTTGTTTTATATAATATTATGTAATTGAAATATTCAATTAAATTTGTTTAAATCTAAAATTTATTATTTTTCTATATGAATAATTTAGGTCATTATAAATAAATTTTTTTGATTAAATAAATATAAAAATATTTATAAATTTAGTTATTTGTATAATTTTTTTGGTGTATCTTTTCTATTGACATATATGCTCGACCTCTACCCCAAATCTTACATAAATATATATTTTATAAATTTCATTTTCGAATACATTTAATTAAGGATACTATTTAATTACTCAACTAATATCACTAAATTTTTTTACTACCCAGTAAAAAAGAAAACAAAAAAATTATAATATTAAAAATATGTTAAAAAGTAAATATATCAATTGGATAAAATCAGGTTAAATCTTCAAAATACTATGCATAAATTAATAATTGAATCAAAATAATTTATTTATGTACACTAATTTTTAAATATTGACGTAGCATACATGCGTATATATGCGTTTTCGTACCTTATCACATATATATATATATATGTACACACACGTGTGTACATATATCTATATATGAAAGGGTCTGGTTTTCTCTCTTGATTAAATAAATGGTCAGCGAAGAAGGTAAAATCTTGATCGTTGGTCGTTTTTACTTTAAAAATGATGATTGGTGGTTACAGGTGTATAAAAGTGAGCCTTACCTCACACGATCCAAAACCTTAAAATCCCTTACAGAGCCGTTCCGATCGAAAAACCTAAATTCAACACCCAAATCTCCGTCTACCCGCCCCCGGCAAATATGGAACATCCCATGGAGATGGACGTAGAAGAAGAATCGCAACAACGACGACAGGGACACGCATCGAATTCAAATCACGACCAAATTCCATTTAAGCGATTCGGTCTCAGAAACTCCATTCAAACCAATTTCGGCGATGATTATGTTTTCCAAATTGCTCCCAAGTAATCCTCCTCTCTCTTTCTGTTTTCCTTTTTCTGTTTGTTTCGCCGGAAAGCTCGGGATGGTGAGTTGTATTTAGTTCGATGTAATAATTAGCCTACTGCAATTTGTTTGTTTAGAACTCACTGATTAAATTTTGATATCGAATGACAAAGGGATGATTGTGCAACAATGGCAGTTTCGTTGTCAACCAACGCAGTGAAATTGTACTCTCCTGTGACGGGTCAGTACTACGGAGAGTGTAGAGGTCACTCTGCTACTATCAACCATATTTCTTTCTCCGGCGGATCCACGCCTCATGCCCTGCACTCTTGTTCCTCCGACGGAACCATCCGAACTTGGGATACCCGAACATTTCAACAGGTAAAAATTTATTTGGTGTTTGCTGTAAGCTATTATGATCTTTTGGTTCTTGAGTTTCTCGTTTTGTTCATTTGAATTTGAGAGTGAAACTACTTGGTTCCTTTTGGTAAAAACAATTCTATTCTCGTTCAATTACTACCTCTTAATTACTTTACATATGGAAGGAATTCATAGCTCACATAGTTGATAGATAATTGAATCCAATCCTACAGTAAATTATTTTCTCCTATCTTTGAAGAAAAAAACTTGGATTGGAAAAAAGTTCTGTTTGTATTCATTTTGGTTTGGTTTTTGTTTTGTAATGGATACTGCAGGTGTCTTGTATAGCTGCTGGCCCTAATCAAGAGATCTTTAGTTTCTCTTTTGGAGGGTCTGCTGATAATCTTCTTGCCGGTGGGTGTAAATCGCAGGTATTATTATAACTATACTTGTAGGGTTGTTGATGACATTGAGTGGTTCCATTTGAGCTCAGGGCAATTTTTAGCTACTTTTCTGTGGTCATGATAAGTTCTATAAATCCCTATGAATGTAAAGGTTGCCTCTCCTGTTTATTCTGAAGAAGGCAAGGTATGCTTAGTTTATCCATTGTAATGTTTGCCTATATGGAGGACATAGGCTACTTTTGTTTGCAAATTGATGTTTTTGGTTGTTCATATCGGCTTTTCATTTTTGATTAGCTCAATGTAGGTACTTTTCTGGGATTGGAGGAACAAAAAGCAAGTTGCTTGTTTGGAGGAGTCTCATGTGGATGATGTTACTCAGGTGCGTTTTCAGCTACATGGTATTTGTGTTAGATGATGAGAGAATTGTGTTTTCATTTATCTTATGTTTTCTTTTGCATCTTAGAGCTTCATCAGTCCATGATTGGTTATCTCTGAGTTGTAGGAAAGTGTAATTTCTGAGTTGTAGGCAAGTGGTGGTTATACCGATTCTGTGTTTTATTCTGATTTTATAGCAGTTAATGTTAACAGGTTCATTTCGTTCCAGATAACCGAAACAAACTTGTGTCTGCTTCAGTAGATGGATTGATATGTATATTTGATACCGAGGGAGACATCAATGATGATGAACATTTGGATTCTGTAAGTGAACCATGAAGTTCTCAGTCTCACTGGCATTCTTAATCTCATAATTTTATACTTCTATTACTTGAGTCTACTGTTTAAAGAGGGGATTAATATAAATTACTGGAGTTTCATGGGAAATTTAAGATAGTTGTCTAGTTGATTAAGCTGGTCTCGGACTTGCAGGTAATCAATGCAGAAACCTCAATCGGAAAAGTGGGATTTTTTGGAGATTCCTATCAAAAACTATGGTGTTTGACACATATAGAAACCCTAAGGTATACTGTCTCCTACGAAAAGAGTATCTTCCTCTGAGTGTCAGTTATGAAACATTGCTAAAATATTCTATTCAAGGATCTTAAAATCTAGTTCTAATTGTGGTTATCTATGAGTTACATTTGACAGCTAAGTGTGGATGTTTGTCTATGGATGAAAAGAAAACAAAAACAAACTCACTTATATGGTAGAGCTTATCCACAGTAGTGAACTAAGCTTCTCATGATCTGTATTAAACTATATTGTTTGCATTTGATGCTGAGATGTTCCATTTTCAATATGCCTGTTCCTTCAGCATTTGGGACTGGAAGGATGCAAGACTGGAAGTAAACTTTGAGAATGCTCGTTCTTTAGCTTCTGAAAGTTGGACATTGGATGATGTAAGTTTTCTCTGTGTTTGCGTAGTTGTTGTGGCTCATCTCTCATTTTAACCTTTGGGCTTTTCAGTTGGGATCTGTGTGTTTGTGTGCTTGTTGTGCTGGGGGAGAATGCATCAGAACAGCAGATAAGTAATTGTGGGTTTGTTCGCCCCTTGATAATTTAAAAATTTAAGAGACTAAAAAATAGTCGAAATACATAACTGAAGCCTGAGTAATCGAGTTGTGACAACCTAATGGCTTGTACCAAAAGTGGGGGCAAAATTTCTAGACAACTTAAAAAGAAGCAAATGAAATTATGGGGTGTTAGGCTAATAAATCAATCAGCAGTGACAGTCAAATGCATAACCACATTTGACGATTTGAAAAATGCTGATATACCC